GGTTCTTCATAAAAGCTAAACTCCACAAAGTTTACTCAGCAGCTCTACAACGATGGTGAACCATGGAAAATATCCGGTTCTGTCCTGACCTGAGCTGAGACTGATGGTCTCCTGGATGTCTTCACGGGCGCTTTAACCTGCGCTCAAAGGCTCTCCTATTCTTTGTTTTGGAGAGGGGGTGCCAGTGCGTATGTGCCAATTAGCATAGGTCTAGGGTAGAGATTGCTGCGCCCAAAAGTAACAGGTACGTAACAAGATGATTTGGTAGTGTTGAAGTCTAAATAACATTTTTAAACTATACTTAAATGCAGATTATACACAACACTAAAAGTCTGTATGATGTAGAAATTGTTTGGTTTAATTTTCATGGTCTATTTTTTATATTTTGTGATTCTTCTTCCCCTTCCTGTGAGACTGGTGGGGCGGCGCCCTAGTGCCCCCTAAGGATGAGCCACCACTGGTCATTGAAAATAGCCTCAATAAAGAGGAAATGATGTGACATAAGACAATAGGAAGTTTCCAACAATCAGGCAGCTGCTTGGAGGAGGAAGTATTGGGGGATGAAGATGTTAACCAAAATACTAGAAAATGTAAAGTTTCTACCCTTGATTGTTGTTGAAGATTATAATAAATCGATACTTTTCTTTCCTCCATTTTTAAGAGTTGCAGTTTTTTACTTTATATTAAACTGACAATGTGTAGTTTTTTACCATTAATCTCTGGAAAAATCCATCAAAATATTGTTGAAAATGAATTAAATGATGCCCATTGTTAAAAAAAAAAACTATTGGCAGCTTCATAACATTTAGCCAAAAAAAATTTAGTCCAAGTCTCAATCTTGGCTAAAGTGATGCCATTTTAATCTAGACAGGATCTTGGGACTGTGGTTCATGCCTTCATAACATCACGTCTAGACTACTATAACTCTGTCTTAGTTGGCATAAAATCAAGGTAGCTTGTCTGCAGCTCGTTCAGAATGCTGCAACAAGATTCTTGGTTGTCTGATAATGTGACACCTGTTCTGGCTACTCTTCACTGATTTCTTGTTGATTTTAGAATTTGTTTTAAACTCCTTTTAATGGTTTTCAAGGCTCTAAATGTACTGGCTCTAGCATATTTAGCGGAGTCGTTGCAACCGCACAAATGCTCCATTCCGAGAGCCAGTTGCCGCTGGTGGCTTCCAGAGCTCGGCTAAAGACAAGAAGGGATAGGGCGTTGTCCATAAAGAATTAAAACTGTGGAACACGCTTCCCTTATCTGTTAAGCGCTCTTCTTCAGTAGCAGTTTATAAAACACTGCTGAATGCCCACTTTTATGGTTTGGCTCTCAACTCTGTGGGTTAGACGGTGTTGATCTTTTACATGATTTTATTAAAATTTGACGTGTTGGTTTTGAATTGTTTTTGCAGATTTTTTTTTTCATTTAATTTGTTACTGAGCAGCAATTTGGTGGCATGCCTTTAAGGGGATCTATAAATAAAGGTTGAAGATGATGATGATGATGATCTGACGAAATACACGTAAATTGCGCTCCCAGGGATTTTTGACCCTCATTGCCATCCGTTGGTAAGGTCTTACTTGAACATAAAAATACTGCTTGCTTGCAATGACTTACGTATGTTCTGCCCCCTATCGCCAGAAAAAATACACACCGTCAATTTGATTATGTTGTCTTACTTTAGCTTATGTTCTTTTAAAATATGTTTTTAAGTTTTTTTTTATGCAAATTTAGGCTGCAAATCAATCTTAGCTAGCTGTATTGGGACATTCATTCGCTAAGTACTCTTATTGTGAAGGTTTTTTTTAAAGAAGTTATGCCTCTGTTAGGTTCTGATGACACTGTGAGTGTAATAATGTTGGTAGTCTGAGTCATTAAACCAAACAGCAGCTTTACCTTGTACTCTGCAGTTACAACTATTGACTTATATACTGGACAAATAATGTTCTTAGGCTCGAGTTATATGTTTTTTAGACAAAATGGAAAGTTCTCACCAATGCCATTTTGACCATGTCACACGTCTTGTCACACCCAGACAATCCAAAAATAGGAAAAAAAGGTGGAGCTGAGGGGGAGGCTGGTTGCAACAGGGTTGGAACAAATGAACCAATGTAGCTACTAGCTAACTTAGCTAACCCAAGAAGCTAAGAAGGGGTTACGAGACAGCAAACCACGCGGCCGCTTGGCTTCCATGCGAGGCTGTAGTTATGCTGGTCACCTGTGGAGCTGTTAAAATACAATTATTTGCAATCGGACCCAGGCTGCTAATGGGAGGTCATGCTTCGCCTCGGTCAGAGATAAGCAGGAGATTAGCTACATGCTAACTCAAGCTAACGGGGAGTTTTCGGGCACTTTTAGTGAGAGGAACACGGTTAAACGATTTTAAAATGATCTCAAAGAGCAGCAGTGTTTCTGCAATCTCCCCCAGAGAGCCTCACAGACAAGAAGCACAGCTACAGCCTACAAGTGAAGTTGTACATTTTTTTTAACTAAGACACATAAAATGCCCCAAATACATTTATATTCTAAAAGTATTTTTTCAAGAATAAAAACTTTAATAACACTTTTCTTTATTAAAGCTATGCCCATGTGTCAGCAGCCTATTCATGTTGTCATAGTCTTAAACCATCATTGACCCAAATGTAGGGTGGAAAGTTATTTGAGGAGATTCTTGGCACGCATGCGTCCGAAGTTGATGCCTCAGGATAATATGGCACAAATACCCGATTTTAGAGGAGCAGCCTAGAATGGGTTGGGGGATTATCTCGGAGCTATTTCAGTCCTGTGGGATCTGTCTAGGCATCCCTGCAGGTACACAGAAATGATCATTGTTAGCTAACAATGTGACTCCCTAAAAAAACAGATGGCACATAAAGTTTTTGTTTCATTTGTTCACCTTCGTGATCATTTATGATGTAGTTATGAGGGAAGCAACTAAAAAGCCACTTGGTACAGTTAAATACACATATATTTAGGTTTCCATTATTGGAAAATACAGTTGTGGGAAACTTTCAGGTGTTTGAAAGAAGATTTTCTTTCTACCAATGATACCTTACTTAAATTTTAACATAAAAAATAATTTCCAATTAAATTTCGTGTTTAAATTTTTGATTTTTTTATGCCAGTATATTATTCACCAATGTTTTCATGTATGGATAGCATTTAAAACATAAATAGAACAAAATAAAATCACAAGTTTCAATAAAATATGAGAGCCTGTTAAAAATAGCCTAATTCCCATTGCCAGCCACGGGTGTTCCTCAGGGATGAGTGCTTACCCCACATTTGTTTATTTGGAAAATCAACAAATATCTTCTCTAGTGGCAAATAAATGTTATAGTTATACTTATCCGTAACGGTAAAAGGTAAAAGGCTTGTATTTGATGTAGCGCTTTCTAGAGTCCTGGAACCCCCAAGGAGCTTTACAACACAGTCAGTCATTCACCCATTCACACACACGCATTCACACCATGGTAGTGATGAGCACACTGACAGAGGTGAGTCTGCACAGGCGCCACCGGTCCCTCCAAACACCACCAGCTGGCAAGGTGAGCTAAGAGTATTGCCCAAGGACACAACGACAGCAACAGACTGAACAGGGTTCGAACCTGCAACCTTTCGATTACGGGTGAGGACTTAACTCCTGTGCCACTGTAGTTCAGAACAGTAACAGTAATAACAGTGCATTTTAATATTTAGTGGGCTCAGACTAGCCTTTACTGCATCACCCTTAACCCTCTCAGGCTCAAAATAAGTTTTGATAAAAGGACGAACAACTAAGTCCTTCAGGGGTACTTCTGTGTTAAAAAAATGCTCATGAAATACGTATGTGGAGTAACCAGGTAGGTAGGTTTTAACGTTGCAAATTTGCAACGCCTGCCCCCTGAGGGTTAAAGGATGTAAACTCTGTTTCTGCGAAACACAAGCTGTTCAGGGACAATGACATTGGTTGTGTTTTTTTATTATTCCTTAAAATACTTCATTTAAAATGTCTTATTTCTAGAATAAAAAACACTAATTACACAAGTAATGGTTAAGCAACTAGTTAAATGTCTCGATAAATATTGAATTAAATAGTTTAATTTAATTAGCTCATGTAAGTGTGAAAATGTATTGGCAATCTCCTAAATCTGAGAGATATTTTGAAATGTTGCATTGTGTCTGTCAGAGAGACTGAGAACGGCGCATATTGCCTTATGCTGAATATAGTTTCATTGTTTTGTAACTTGCAAAGTAGATATTTGCTGTTGTTTTGTGCATTGATTAAAAACCTTACATTATCTCCAAATGCTTTTTTCACCTGTGTGACAACAGTTTATTTTGCAAAAAATTACTTTATATCACGACAAAGTCATTTTTGTTGTTTTTATTTTTCTAATGAGGACTCATTAATAGCATAGCTAGCATGCAGTCAAGATATGACATTATGAGGCATGCCGCATTGATTCTCCCAATCTGTTTGTGTCAGGAGAACAAGAAAACTTTAGGCCTATTTTAGGCCACATACTCTGCTGCAGATTAGTGAAAAAGCATTATTTCCTAGGGAATGTCAACATCAATTTTTAGCTTCTTCTTGCCTAAGATTGATGCTGCTTGATACCCCTTCTCCCCAGTCAGTACAGCATTAATGGTCCCTGCTTGTGTCCTTCTCTACAGAAACGTCACAATGTTTCTGCTCTGTTGCAGTGACTCAAAGACTTTTTTTCCTTTGGGGAGGTATTGGGAAACTGTAGAGATCCAGCTGTTTGGTGCACAGCTGATCTAAACTGCTGGTTATTCCCTTTCTTTTCCTTCCCTGCATGAGTCAGAACGAGTACAACACAGAACACCATCTGCACCAGTCGTGACCCTTTAAATCAGCAAAAAAATAAAAAAAAGCCTAGTTTAGGGAATATTCTAGAGTCCCTTATTGAACCCTACTGTATGTCTACGGTGTTCTCCAGTCTAGACAGTGTCATTAAAAATTGATTGAGGAAAGGCAGGTTTCCAGTGAACCGACTGACCGCTGCTTTGCTCCCGCTGCTCCTGGCTGGAAGTGGCCGCCTCGGTCTCCACTTTGCGCCGGCACTGGCCCTGGCCCTGCACCAGCTGCTCCAGCGGCAGCTCCGAGTCGGGCGTCGGGTAGCACCGCAGACCGGTGGAGCACCTCGGGGTGTACACGCCGCACGTCTCCCCCTCCTGCCGGGCGCAGACGGGGCAACACCCGCAGCCCGGCTCGCGCACCATTTCCGCGCACGTCTCTGCAAGCTTCGGGCACAGCGCCTGGCGCTCGGCGGTGCAGCCCGGGCAACGGAACACCATCTCGGCCAGGGAGGCACCGGTCAGAGCCGGGGAGAGGAGCAGCAGGCTGCAGAACCACAGCATCGTTCTAGGCTTCAGGGTGTCGGTCATTATCATGGGGCGATCGAAGGCAATCCCAAGTGGGAAAAAAAGGGAAGAAATGTGCACGCGAACAGGTGAAGCCGGGGGCTGAGAGGTCTGCTGGGTCCTACAAAATCCCAGATTTAGGATAGAGTCGCACATGGGAGTTAATTGGGGAGAAGAGGTGAAGTTGGACATAGAGATATGAGGCAGAACTCCAGCACGTTTTTATTTCATTTGATTGATGAAAAAAGAAATGTGTTAACATTTTTTTAGGATGCATTTAAAATTGTTTCAGTGCTGCAGCCGCAAGCTAATTGTTTTAAGTGGTTGTCATGGAAACGTTGCCATCTAACCCACTGACTGAATATATAATTTCAACAATTATTCTTAGTTTTTGTTTGTTTCAGGCTGGGTTGGAAATGCAGTCTAAGTGAAGCCAACTTTTAGTTGTTTCTAAAATGAGATCAGATGATCTCACAGGGGAACCAGGTTTGTATTGGATAAAGCAGTGGTTCCCAAATTGGGGTCCAGGACTCGCAAGGGGGTCCTCACAATTTTGTCTGTGCTGAGGCTAAATTGTATTTGAAAAAATTACATGTATAATATCCTAATAATGCACTCAAAACTCCATACAAATGCCTTAACTCTGCACAAAGTTTGTAAACAATAACAATCCATGGTGTATGTGTGTGGAGTTGGGGTTGGGAGGCCCTGGCTTGTCTTGGACACAAGCAAGGGAGTCTTCAAGGAAAAAAGTTTGGGAACCAAAAGGAACATTAGTGCCACATCGACAAAAGGTGAAAAGCCAAGATAATGTTGAGATTAAAGTCCTAATGTCTGATAAAATGTCAAAATATCATTTCCACATTAAAGACGAAATGTCGAATGAGACATGTCAAAAAATTTCGAGAGTCTAATGAAAATGCGATCTCCAGAATAAAGTTTAATGAAAGACAAAGTCTAATTGTCTGGGTGAATTTCAAAGTGGAATTTCCTGAATAGAGTAGAAAAAGTGAAGAAGAAAGTCATACTGAAATAATAATGAAGCATTTTTATCAGTAAGACGAGCTGTGTTTTAGCTTCTTCCCTAGAAGCATCCACAGTGGAACTCAAAACGCAGTCCTACACAATAAGAGTCTCAAAAACACACATGCACCTCAAATGATTCAAACGTTATAATGAAGTTTGTTGATCCAGCTGTCTGAAAACACTCAACTCTTATGTAAAGGAGCAGACCAAGTTCTGCGTTCCACTATGGACGCTGTTAGAGAGATGGTCAAAAGTTAGCGCCCCCTATCAGTTATTTTGATAGTTGACAATTAGCTGTTTCCTTTCTTTGAGGAGACTCTCTTGGCCCCATTCCAAATTGGATGAGTTTTTCTTTTACTTTGTCAATCCTAATAGATCCCAAATGAGAAATGAACACATAACTTTCACAGTCGTCCACACGTTTTCTTCTCTACGTAATTTGGACTGCCACTTTCCAGCACACTCCTAACCAGACCTTTTCTGGAGGAATTAAGCTTAATGAATCTTAGAAATCTTTTTTCCCTTAAAGTTTTTTCTTTCAAATGGACACATGTTTGTGCTCAAAATGACTGCAGCGAATACGAGCCACTTTCTCCAAGAGTGTAATATCATCCATGGCGAAGCTTGTTCATTTCAATCAGCACTGTCTCCCCCCGACTTTGAGAATGCATAAACAAACAAACAAGTAAAAGGTCTATGTCCAGACCATTCCTTACATGGAAACGCTTCCCCGCTGTGGTCCAAATGTCCATTAACACTCAATAAAAACTTGCCAGCTTCCACCGTCTTGTGCACTTTTGTACAGTATGCTACTGTGCACATTCACGGCCATTTTTCCTATCGATCGGTGAGGCCAAGACTTGAGGTGTCGTGCTTGGCCACAAAACAAGCTCCCATTAACCCCGTCCAGTGCAGTAGACTAATAGGTGTTTATCCAAGGGGGACCAGAAATAGATGCAGCATGTGAAACCTAACTCCGCAGATATAAATGCAGATTATTTTGTTTAGTGGGTGCACCCTGATTTAACATTATTTGGCCGTATTCACAGCTCACCTTTGGGGGGTGCACAAATGGAGAATGGGCACATTTGCAGGCGGGCTGCATCTCTGAGGCGTGAGTCAGGAGGATGCCCAGAGGGCTGTTTGCACATAGAACCTCATGAGTCATTTTGTGAAACCATGGATGGAAACGAAGCAGGAGAGGAGGCCTGCCATTTTATAAATAAAAGCCCTGAGGGCAAGGATTCGTGTCTGGGATGGTCACTAGCTAATGGTCCAAACGGGCCGCGGGATCTGCCCATGTGTGCAAAGTAATCCTCACCAAGGTCAGTTCCTTACATTCCTCCGCTTGGAGCCGTTGAGCAAACACAAACTCTGGATAAACTCTGCATTGATAGAGGACGGTATGGGATCACTGTTGAGTGCAGAGTAGTTCATGTGGAGTTTTATATGATAAGGAGCTCATCTCCAACTAGTGAAATGCAAGAATCTATCCAAATCAACACGGCTGCAGCGCAAATGTGGTTGGACTCAGATAAATTTACTGTAATTCAATCAAAATCTATCGTGTTGGTAGCTGGAAGGCATCTCTATCACAAACGCCAAACATGTCGTTGGTCATGCCTCCCCTCTGCAGTAAGAGTGTATAACTCCTCCGTTTAACTGGTACTGGCGTTATCCTGTTATACAAAACATCAACGCAATTCATTCAAACTTTATTTCAGACAAGGGATATGTCTATAACAGGAATAAAAAAATAGAAAACAAGTAAAAAACACATTCTAATTAAAAACCGTATAGGCAGTTGTTCCAATGTTTAAAAAGGACTGAGGAGTAACTCGTGTCACTGTAAGTTAAATAAGACAGTGCTCTAACAACAGCGTTAGCTGACAAACTCAGTCGGCAGATGAATTTATACTTGAAGAGCCTCAGAAGCGCATGAAAAGTAGGGATGTTACTCACAACAAACATATGACTTGCCGAGGTCCATCTAGGGAGCTTCATGAGGATTCTAAAAGCATCCTGATAAGCCACTTGAAGCTTCTTCATTACTACCTTACTATAGTTGCACCACAAGTGGGCTGTACAGAGAGGAGTACAAAAGGAACGAAAGAGGGACACTTTAACAGGATCTGAGCACATGCCAAAGTTACGTGCCAGAGTGTTAGCCTGCATGTACAGCTTACCGCATTGCCTCTTAATGTCCTCGTCATCACAGAGGTCACTTCTTAAAATGTGCCCCAAATATTTTACTTTGCTTACCACTTCAAGGACCTGATTTGTTTAGTTAAAAGATGGAAAATTAAGCTTCAGGTCCCCTTTAGTAGCAGCAATCATAACCACACTCTTTTTAGGGTTAAACAGGATGTCAAATTGCTCACCATACTTCGCACATGCCCTGAGCAGCTGCTGCAGGCCTGCGCTATAGGGAGACATGAGGACTAGGTCATCTGCATATATTAAATGATTTACAAGGCGGTCACCCACCAAGCATCCAGTCTTACTAGCATTCAAAGTAACAGACAGCTTGTCAAGGTACAGGTTAGAAAGGACAGGAGACAGAATCCCGCCTTGTCTGACTCCATTCGACACCAATATTCAGTGTGTGTTTAATATTTGTTTCATGTGTTCATTAAGTACGTCTGTGTTCATTATGCTGCATTGTTCCCTTTATTTGGTGTTTTTAGTGGTTGAAAGTTTCAACAGTAGCTTACTGCCTTTGTGTTTTTACCTGCAATCTTGTTATTTTTTTCTTTTTCCTCTTCTCCAAGTGTTTGTGCTGCTATAACAAGTGAATTTCCCCACTGTGGGATTAATAAAGAATATTCTATTCTATTAATTTCATCTTTGGCCATACTTTAAACAATTGAGCCTGATTTGTGCGATATTCTAACTTTTCAAGTTTCACCTGCATTGAAATTTGGAACAAATCTAAACCACATCTGACTTTGCATAAAACTGAAACATTTGTGCCCTGAAACACTTTAAAAATACATCTATATTATCTAACAATGATTACGTTCCACTGTGTGGATGTTGGGATTTGAGTCTTCACAAGCAGAGGAAAAGTTAAATATATTACGTGATCAGTGAGCCTGGATAAAACCATGTCACACTTACAGCACTCACAGCTGGACCATGACCTCATTTTGTAACTAACAAGCTGTCAGAAACCATTTTAAAGCTCGCACGGTGAACCTGAGATGCAAAGGAGTTTTTATACGGCGAGTGCATTCTGCAGCATCTTACTGAATGGAAATGTTTACCAAATGACAGTGCACACATCCCTGCTTGGAAATGTTAGATTCACAAGTCCCAAATGGAGAAAATGCTTATGTACGTTTGTTTGTGAGCATGCATGGCCAAGTTTTTGTTCGCTGCTTAGCAACAAGGGATGCACTTCGACATCAGGAGCAAGTTTATATTGTTGCTTTATTTGTTAATGCAAGACACTGAGCCAAACTTCTCCATAAAAAACGCAGACTGTGACCGGAAAACGGCCCTCCTGAGGGGGGGGGGGGGGGGGGGGGGGGGGGGGGGGTCCTAGTCCATGCATACTGGCCACTTTATTAGGCACACCTTGCTAGTGCCTTGCTGAAAACTAGAGATGGTTGTGAGTGAAAATGGCAGAGCGGCACATCTGGCACAAACTGAAACACAGAGTTCAAAGTGTTTTAAATGAGCTTTTTACTCAGTTTGAACTTCATCCTGCTGTTGTTAGCACACCTGGATGCCCAAACACCTGAACAGGTGCACCTACTAAAGTGCATGTTTAGAAACAAAACATCAAAGCTTTGAACTTAGGGAAACAAACGTGACTGTTAACAAGCTACAAATGATTCAATCAAAGTTAAAAAGTCTCAGTATCACAACGTTGTGTTTCACTTGTAGTATAATACATGGAAGAAATACTTGTTTTTCTGCTCAAAATGAGAGTATGTGGCTGTCTTTAACAAGATATGTGTGCTTTGCTAGAGGACCCCACCCAGTGTTCACCTGCAGAATCACAGACACAGATGTGATTGTCAGTTTATTTTAAAAATTAGAAATTGATTAATCAAGTAATATTTTTTTACACACAGTAAAGTTTACTGTTAAAACAGTGGGAGATATTTGTTCAATTAAGTAGAAAAATACACGTTCTTTTTTTTCCTGTTTTGACTGAAACTCATTCATAAATGAGCTTTTTGTAAATAATAGAAAAAGACAGGGCCAGTGGTGTTATGTCGACATATGTTCCCGCTTCTTCTGGAGACAATTAAGAGCCAGAGCGCCTGCCCACTCTCTACCATGGATCCCCAAAAGCATGCTCACCAGCTGCATGACTGTGTGGTACAGCAGCTGCACCACATTCAAACAGAAGACTCTGCAGTACATAGTGAGAGTCCTTGAGAAGATCATCGGTTCCCGTTTTCCATCATTCTAGGAAATTTTACCAAAGCCATCAGACTCGCAAAGCACTGAGTATTGTGGGTGATTCTACCCATCCCAACTGCTTTATCAGTCTCCCCTCTGGCAGCTGTATGGGGGGCCTATAGGCCAGGACCAGCAGACTGAGGGACAGCTTCATCCAATCGGATGCTGAACTCTCTGGTCTCGCCTCATTCTTTTCTGACCTCTGTCGCCCAAAACCCTGGACACTAACCAGAATATTTAAATGGAAGAATACACCGCTTTTTACCTTCGTTCAATACTATTTCTATATTTAGAACTGTCCTTTTCATTGCATATTTTCATTTCAATGTTTTTTTTACATATCACTGTTTACACCAACACCCATAGGCCTTTTGTCTTCTTTTCTAATGCATATATTTGTCTTTGTTAGCTCTTATTGCTGTTTTCAACTGGAAAAGTAAGAAAAAAAAAACACTTTCAATTCTGTTGATAATCAACCAAAGTAGATGAGAATTGATTGATTTTATTAGCAATTTTTTTAATCTATCATCTATCTATCTATCTATCTATCTATCTATCTATCTATCTATCTATCTATCTATCTATCTATCTATCTATCTATCTATCTATCTATCTATCTATCTATCTATCATCTATCTATCATCTATCTATCTATCTATCTATCTATCTATCTATCTATCTATCTATCTATCTATCTATCTATCTATCTATCTATCTATCATCTATCTATCTATCTATCTATCTATCTATCTATCTATCTATCTATCTATCTATCTATCTATCTATCTATCTATCTATCTATCTATCTATCTTTTTCAGTATTTTTAATTGTCATAATATAAACCAAAAGAATTTAAAGTGAAAAGCTGGTGAACAACTGTTTTCTACAGGGTGAAATATCTCGATGCAACACTCGTGTTATGTCATGATATGTACCCCCACCAACAACCCACTTCACTACCTGCTTACCGCGTTTGTTTACTAAAGCCAAAGTATTCTAGGAAAGATATAAAAACAAATGTCTTAATTATGTTTCACAACTTTTTGTTCATTTCACTAATAGTAAACTAATCTAAATCACAATTTAGAATAGATTATTAGTATTTTGTTTGGTTCACATTGATCAAATGTACACATCTGACTCATTACGTCATGGTAAAGACATTCTGAAAGTTTTATCACTCTATCGTTAAAATTCGTACATTTTAGACAGATTGTGAAACAGCTTTAAACGAGGGACCTCGACCCAACACTTTTGGAACATCGGGGCCACCGTAGAGACTTCAAACAATCATGTGACCGTGCGAAGATGTCAACATCAATAAGCAGGCGTTAAAATAAGCCTTTTTTCCCCTTTATTTAAACGAATTAACATGCTTTAATTCTCACACAACAAAAAAACAACTGGATGCTAGCTAACTCTATTCTCTGACGCCGCACAGGTAAGGTGTTTGTGCTGTTTTCCTGCTAAAAGCTAAGAAACATTAGCTTTGCTCATTTTAGCTGCGGTGGGTGAAGTTTGGATATTAACGCCAAATAACTCAGGATAGTTTTGGCTAATGCAATCATAGTACATGTGTATTATGTTGTTTCACTGTTAAATACCGTATTACAATATATTATGGCTACTTTAACCAGTAGGTGCGGTTGGAGCATCATTTCCTTTAGCTTCTCGAACACGAAGCCTGACTTGTTTACCTTTTTCCCCTAAACATCACAGGATGGCTGTGTCTAATCCTGGCCAGTCACCTCTTGTGCACAGCTTGGCCACACTTCTACGAAACTGTGGTACGTTTAATTAAAACATTTGCACTTCAAGTGTTTTTAAAATATAATCAAGGTGGAGGATTGTTCTTCAATCCAGCAAAGTTTGAGGCAAACATGTCGGGGAGAAAAATTTAACATAAATCACCTGAAACCCCTAATCTGATTATTTGGACTAATGATTGTTTCAAAATTAGTATTATTAAAATGTACAAGTTGTAGTTTATAGATTGTTTGAAGCTTGAGTGTCAGGAGGGTCTGAAGGTCATACACGTACACAAGCTGAATATTTTTTCATTTGTAAAAAACATCAGTCACTTGCTGCAGATCAACAGTGTCAGACCGTTTCTTCTTCTCTCCAGGTGACGTGGTTCTGGACGGCAGCAGCACGCTGACGCTACCTGCTGCTCATCTGCAGCAGCTCACCAGGCTCTTCGAGCAGCACCTGCTGCCCCGGAGCCAGCAGCACGGGTTCTTAGCGCTGCCATCCCACCCCGCCGACACCACCTCCCTGCTTCAGCTGCAGTTCCTGTTTGATGTCCTGCAGAAGACCGTGTCCCTAAAGGTGGGATAAAATCAGAACAAGTCTCTACAAGCAGCCTCTGATTTGACTAATTGATATAAGTGAAAGTAAAATACTGAGTGTGTGGAGCTTGTCATGGATTTTTTTCTGGTTTAAACTGATCATAGTGGATCTTTTTGACAATGATCCAAAGGTTTTTTCCCCTCCCAGAAGTAGCTGAAAACAAACAAACAAACAAACTGAAAGACCAGGATCTCTGAACTGAAAGCTACAAAGGAGGAACATCATGTGAACAATTAAAAGTTGTTTTTCAACAAAATCACAGAAGAAAGACAAACAGGACACAAATACGATATAAAAAATGTAGTTTGACTCTATTTTAATTAAGAAAGTCAATCAACTAGTTGATAAAAATCTTTATTTAACCAGAACGAGACTCGTTATGGAAGAGGATTAGGGCCAATATAGAAAGATAATATTGAATTTATTCTTAGAGTCAGTATCCTGGCCAAGAGCAGCAGTAAGACGCGTTTGAAGACGCGTTCGCAGATACGCAGAGATAACACACATAAAATAACTAAAACATAATAACAGCAAATTGGGAATTTTATGCTCTTAATTCAAATACTTTTATTTTACTAAAAGAAAGCTGATGAACTTCACCCAAAGAACACAAACAATTATTTGAAGTATTTAAATCAAAGTCGAATTATAACACTTTGTTTGCTGTATTTTATCTTCATTTGGCCAAAATGTGTTAAATTAAAAAAAAATTATTTCAAATGTTTGATTTTTATTTCCAACCCTTTAGAGTAAACATACTTGATCACTTGATGTGCAGGCGATGAGAAACGTTTTTAAAAAAGGGGGAAAATCAGACTGAAATGTGAAAACAAGAAATATAGCAAAAGCAGTTAGAGAGTTGCGAAGCCTAATTCAGAACATTAGGAGCATTTTACTTTGAAAGGGTTTTCATACTTCCTCTGGATAAACTGGGGCAGATAAGAAATCCTTCAGCCACTTTTTAAATTATTGATCATAATAAATCTGGTGCCATGCTGCCCCCTTGTGGTTTAAAGATGGCGTGTGTTGTCAGAAGTCCCTGAAGACTTCTCCTCAGCAGGTCCGACTTCTGCACTCTGACCCTGTAATCTAACTTTAACTGCAGCTCATCAACCCACCAGGAGCGAGTCTGGAGGCTGCGGTGAAAATATTCCCTTTCAAGTCTCTCAAGTATTTAGAAGTAAGTTATAAACACGCCACGAGTCACCTGTGTGTCTTTTTAAAATCGCTGATTACATTTGATGTGTCTCACCAGCTAAAGAGAGTCCCTCCATCCCTCTTAGAGGGACTGCGAGGAGTTTACTCCCAGCTGGAGGTTTTTATCTGCACAAAGAGCCTCAGCTCCCTGGAGGTATGTTCTCTCTCAAGCAGCTAATTAAATATTAAAATCATTTCTGTGACTCATTTGCTGTTTTTTAGGAGCTTCTCTCTCTCTGTGGAGGTGACCTGAGCTCTGCACTGCCATGGCTGGAGCTTCACACCCTGAATTTCAGCTACAACTCCATCGTCCGCCTCGATCAGTCACTAGTAGGACACATCCACGTGCGAAGCTGTGATATTTAGTAGTAGATTTTAGGTTAAGGTCGTTTTTCTTTCCTCCTGCAGGGTTTACTAAATGTCCTGAGATGCCTGGATCTCAGCCACAACAAGATTCAGGACTGTTCTGAGTTTCTAAAGGTGGGATAAGTTGATCTGTAAACTCTCCTTGTAGCCGTCACACTTTGGGTTGAGTTTGTGTTTCCCTTCAGCCTCTTAGTGAGCTGGGACTCTTGAACCTGGGATACAACTGCCTGCAGAGGGCGCCGATTCTGGGCCCGAGTGCCAGGGCCAAGCTGCACACACTCATCCTCAGGAACAACGAGCTGGAAACCATTAACGGTGCTCTGCAGTTTCTATTAAAAACACAGACGGAGGACTGAAATCGCTGAGATTTTCAAGGTGTTGTTTCTCGTTAACCAGGTGTGGAGCAGTTGTCTTCACTCCAGCATTTAGACCTAGCCTACAACCTGCTGCTGGAGCACTCCCAGCTCGCTCCTCTCTCCTTACTGCACGGCCTCGTCACAGTAAGGGCACGCACTTCCTCTTTAAAGGCCAGCAGATCACCCGGACATGCTCGGTTTATTTGTGTCAATTTTGTAGCTGAACCTGGAGGGAAACCCGTTGTGCTTCCAGAAAACCCACCGGACCTGCACAGTCCAACACCTCTCCCGGAAAGCCGTCGGCCTCAGAGTGAGTGGAAACACTAAATATCACAACATGACAAAACAAAATCTCTGGTTTTTAGAGCTGGATCAAACCCTGACTTGAGATTCTACACAGGTAAGTAGCAGCCAGGTGCTAGCATTTGTTGTTGAAACCCACTATAACCGTATAGCAGGGCTTTTTTAATTATGGGAACATTTTGTAATCTTCAAATTGTAAGTGTTTTTGTTTTCTCTTTGTTACTAGTTGAGACTGGATGGTATTGCATTGTCGTCCTCCGAGTTATCCGTAAGTCAATAACATAATTTCTTTATGAAGCAACAAAAAGAGTCCTTATTAGACCAGAAAACTCATTCCTAATTCGTCGTCTCTCGTCTTCCTCCTCTTATCCGGGTCCGGGTCGCGGGGGCAGCATCCCAATTAGGGAGCTCCAGGCCGTCCTCTCCCCGGCCTTGTCCACCAGCTCCTCCGGCAGGACCCCAAGGCGTTCCCGGACCAGATTGGAGATGTAACCTCTCCAACGTGTCCTGGGTCGACCCGGGGGCCTTCTGCCGGCAGGACATGCCCGAAACACCTCCCCGGGGAGGCGTCCAGGAGGCATCCTGACCAGATGCCCAAACCACCTCAACTGGCTCCTTTCGATCCGGAGGAGCAGCGGTTCTACTCCGAGTCCCTCCCGAATGTCCGAGCTCCTCACCCTATCTCTAAGGCTGAGCCCGGCCACCCTACGGAGGAAACTCATTTCGGCCGCTTGTATCTGCGATCTCGTTCTTTCGGTCATTACCCAAAGCTCATGACCATAGGTGAGGATTGGGACGTAGATCGACCGGTAAATCGAGAGCCTGGCTTTCTGGCTCAGCTCCCTCTTCCCCACGACAGATCGGCTCAGCGTCCGCATCACTGCAGACGCCGAACCAATCCGCCTGTCGATCTCCCGATCCCTCCTACCCTCACTCGTGAACAAGACCCCGAGATACTTAAACTCCTCCACTTGAGGTAGGACCTCTCCCCCGACCCGGAGGTGGCAAGCCACCCTTTTCCGGTCGAGAACCATGGTCTCAGATTTGGAGGTGCTGATCCTCATCCCAGCCGCTTCACATTCGGCCGCGAACCTACCCAGCAAGAGCTGAAGGTCAGAGCTGGATGAAGCTAGGAGGACCACATCATCCGCAAAAAGCAGAGACGAGATTCTCCTGCCACCAAACTCAACACACTCCACACCACGGCTGCGTCTAGAAATTCTGTCCATAAAAGTGATGAACAGAACCGGTGACAAAGGGCAGCCCTGGCGGAGTCCAACCCTCACTGGGAACAGGTCCGACTTACTACCGGCTATGCGGACCAAACTCACGCTCCTCTGGTAAAGGGACTGAATGGCCCTTAACAGAAATTCACCCACCCCATACTCCTGGAGCGTCCCCCACAGGGTGCCCCTGGGGACACGGTCATAAGCCTTCTCCAAATCCACAAAGCACATGTGGATTGGTTGGGCAAACTCCCATGCCCCCTCCATCACCCTTGCAAGGGTATAGAGCTGGTCCACAGTTCCACGGCCAGGACGAAAACCACATTGCTCCTCCTCTATCTGAGATTCAACTATCGATCGGACCCTCCTCTCCAGTACCTTGGAGTAGACCTTTCCAGGGAGGCTGAGGAGTGTGATCCCCCTATAGTTGGAACACACCCTCAGGTCACCCTTCTTAAAGATGGGGACCACCACCCCGGTCTGCCACTCCCTAGGAACTGCCCCCGATGACCACGCAATGTTGTAGAGACGTGTCAACCATGACAGCCCTACAACATCCATAGCCTTGAGATACCCAGGACGAACCTCATCCGCCCCCGGGGCTCCGCCGCTGTGTAGTTGTTTGACTACCTCCGCAACTTCTGCCCCCGAGATCGGACAGTCCATCCCCAGGCCTCCCAGCTCTGGTTCCTCCTCGGAATGCGCATTGGTGGGATTGAGGAGCTCCTCAAAGTATTCCTTCCACCGTCCGACTATAGCCTCAGTCGACGTCAGCAGCTCCCCATCCCCACTGTAAACAGTGTGAGCGAGTTGCTGCCTTCCTCTCCTGAGGCGCCGGACAGTTTGCCAGAACCTCTTTGGAGCCGATCGATAGTCTTTCTCCATGGCCTCACCAAACTCCTCCCACGCCCGAGATTTTGCCTCGGCAACTGCCACTGCTGCACCCCGCTTGGCTATCCGGTACCTGTCTGCTGCCTCCGGAGACCCACAGACCAGCCACGCCCTGTAGGCCTCCTTCTTCAGCCTGACGGCTCCCCGAACCTCTGGTGTCCACCAGCGGGTACGGGGGTTGCCACCACGACTGGCACCGGCCACCTTACGACCACAGCTAGCAACAGCCGCCTCGACAATCGCAGAGTGGAACAAGGCCCACTCGGACTCAATGTCCCCCACTGCTCTCGGGACGTGGTCAAAGCTCTGCCGGAGGTGGGAGTTGAAGACCGTCTTGACAGGTTCTTCTGCCAGGCGTTCCCAGCAGACCCTCACTATGCGTTTGGGTCTGCCAGGTCTACGCGGCATGTTCCCTTGCCATCTGATCCAACTCACCACCAGGTGGTGATCAGTTGACAGCTCCGCCCCTCTCTTCACTCGGGTGTCCAAAACATACGGCCGCAGGTCAGATGATACGACTACAAAATCTATCATCGACCTGTGACCTAGGCTGCCCTGGTACCAAGTGTACCGGTGGGCATCCTTATGTTCGAACATGGTGTTCGTTATGGCCAAACTGCGGCTTGCACAGAAGTCCAATAACAAAACACCGCTCGAGTTCTGATCAGGTGGGCCGTTCCTCCCAATCACACCCCTCCAGGTCAAGCTGTCATTGCCCACGTGAGCATTGAAGTCCCCCAGCAGGACAATGGAGTCCCCTGATGGAGCACTATCTAGCACTCGTCCCAGGGACTCCAAAAAGGGTGGGTACTCTGAACTGATATTTGGCCCATAAGCACAAACAACAGTCAGGACCCGTTCCCCGACCCGAAGGCGCAAGGAAGCTACCCTTTTTTCCCCCGGGGTAAACCCCAACACACAGGCAGAGAGTCTCGGGGCTAACAAAAAGCCAACCCCAGCCCTCCGCCTCTCACCCGGAGCAACTCCAGCAAAGTAGAGTGTCCAACCCCTCTCCAGGTCTCGGGTTCCAGAGCCAATGCTATGTGTCGAGGTGAGTCCGACTATATCTAGCCGGTACCGCTCAACCTCTGCCACAAGCTCCGGCTCCTTCCCCGCCAGCGAGGTGACGTTCCATGTCCCAAAAACTAGTTTGTGTCTAATTCACATTAATTATATAATAATCTTAGACAACACCAAATATTTTCGTGCTTAAAGAGCAAGTCAACCCCTACCAGAGTCTAACTCCACTCCCACTTCATGTTTGAAAAATGCAACAAATGCTGTTACCTGGCAGACCGAGAAGGCGGAGCTGCTAACAAATACACACACACACACACACAGGCTCACGACAGCATTGTGACATCATAATGTACCAGTTTACATCATAGCATACCTCTTAGCCAATAGCGGTGGCAGATTTAAATTCAAATACAGTGCAGAGTTTTTACCTGACAACGGCACAACACTGCCAGTTTTAGGCAGAATATTTAAATTTTAACTAAGATGCACTGAAGTGCCAAATTATTGACGACACGTGTCTGCAGCACGATTAGACACTCGTTTATTTAGTTTATTAGCAAAAAAAAAGTTTATTTGGGGGTGACTTGCTCTTTAAACTGCAAAAAAGAACCAAGATCAACAGAAATGTTTTTCACACGGGGCAACGTAGGTTTGGATTTAGTTCTCTCCCTAAATAATAATAAAAACCATTATTTCAAAACTGCATTTTGTGTTCACTTGTGTTATCTTTGACTGACGGTTAAATGTGTTTGATGATCAGAAACATTTTGTGTGACAAACATGCAAAAGAATAAGAAATCAGGAAGGGGGCAAATAGTTTTTCACACCACTGTAGTTTGAGGTGAACGGTTTTAACCCATGCTGTACCGAGCTGTTTTAAGCTGAGTGTTGCTGTTGGAAAAACAGCTCTAGTAACTTATTAGGGTCACCATGGTAACAGGCAGTGGCTCATTAGTCACCAGTTGATACCAAGTGGCTAATTGGAGTTGCCACGGGAACACCGAGTGGCTAATTGGAGTCACCATGGTAACACTTACAGACTTTTAAAACAGCTTTTTAGTACTTTGTCTTTTTTTACACCATTAAAAACATTAAATATGTCTGCTTCCTTTCCTGCAGGTTCTACCAAAAACAAGCCAGCCGACTCACCAGCTCCAGAGCCTGCTGCCTCCAGTTTCTGTTTCATCTGAAAGGAGCTACCAGGATGTGTCGAGCGGGGCGGGGGAGCTGAGCGACAGCATGTCTTTTGGAGAAGTCAGGGTCTCACACTTACGCAAAAGGAAATCTAGGGTGAGTTTCTCTCTAGTCAACACGCGAAAAAACCTTCTCCACAGAGAACCTGAACGCATCCTTGTTGTCCTAGAGTAAGGCCAAAGTGAGAACAGCCAGCATATCTGAGCCAAGTGATACGGATCATGAACCCAGACGCGTGTCCTCCACCCGCGGTGAGTTACCGCCGCCTTTTTTGGGGTTCTTTAAAGAGCAAGTCACCCCCAAATAAACTTTTTTTTGCTGATAAACTAAATAAACGAGTGTCTAATCGTGCTGCAGACACGTGTCGTCAATAATTTGGCACTTCAGTGCGTCTTAGTTAAAATTTAAACATTCAGCTTAAAACTGGCAGTGTTGTGCCGTTGTCAGGTAAAAACTCTGCACTTTATTTGAATTTAAATCTGCCACCGCTATTGGCTAAGAAGTATGCTATGATGTAAACTGGTACATTATGATGTCACAATGCTGTCGTGAACCTGTGTGTGTGCGTATTTGTTAGCGGCTCCGCCCTCTCGGTCTGCTAGGCAACAGCATGTGTTGCATTTTTCAAACATGAAGTGAGAGTGGAGTTAGACTCTGGTAGGGGGTGACTTGCTCTTTAATCAGTCGGAGTTACTGGACTGATGTCCTGTCCCCCCACCAGATTTAGTTCTCCCTCACCAGCAGGAGATCGAGCGCATGTCCAGCTTCAGAGACCAGCTGGGAGAAGACTGGCTGAGATACCAGCACCATCTAGACCAATCAGAACCTGCAGACTCTGAAACTCTCTCCAATGGCCTCAGCGCCTCCACCACATGTCCTCCCGTCGAGCCGTTTATGTCTTCTCTTCTGGACGTCCAAGTGGTCCCCCCGCCACCTGTCATCACTTCAGAAACTAAATATGTGGACTTGGACAAGGATTCCACCTTACAGTGGTTCAGTCAAAGCTCTCAGCAAGCTGAAACCACCAGCATGGTGGACGGGTTAGTGGCGAAGCAGGAAGTGGAGCTCTCACTTCCCTCCGGTCCAGATTCCCCGAGGTCTGAGGAAGCCGCGAGTGGAGATGGCAACCAAGAAGAAGAAGAAGGCCTTGGAGGTGACGTTTAGGTACACAAAAGCTCAAAGTTCCCATTCTTGTTAAAGTTTAAATTTGTCCCGTCTCAGTGGACCTGTGTCACCCGCTGCTGGTCGGAGTTCTGCCTGATCAGGAGGAGAGGGGCAGCGAGGCTCCGGAGAAGAAAACAGAGGTGTTCTTATGCGTCAAGCAGGGTCTTCTTCTGGAAGTGGATGTGCAGCGAGGGCAGGAACGGTGTCGGCTGGAGCTGGACAGCCTGTCCCGGGTGGAGACCACGGAGGCTACCTGGACCAGAGGGGTAATATGATCGGTGCATGGATAACAGTGAGCCAGTGTCATCTGTAGAGTTAACCAAATGAAGCTTAGTTTAAATATTTTTATGCGTTAAAGTTATTTAATTATCCACTTTTGCAACTCTATTTATCAATAAGGTAAAAATGAATTTTGAACAGACTAAAAAAAAAAAATCTGCTTTAAGGGGACTTGGTGAGTGGTTGTTCTTCTCCTCAGGATACAGAAGACCCGTTTCCAGCGGTGGAGCTTTATTTCGATTACATCAGCAAGGCAAAAAGGAGGAGGTGTTACGTCCTGCTGGATGATGACCCACAGCAGACGGTGCAGGTCAGCAGCCAGAAAGCCGTCCACATGCGTGAGCTGTGAGGAACACTCAGGGAAACACTGCTTTTACAGCAGCCTGAGAGGGGAACCCGCCCACTGAATTCTTCTCTAGGATGTACGAGTCTGATCGAGTCAGCCTCCACTGTTCCCATGTTTGATATCAAACACCACCTTGTTAGTTTGTTTCCTCATGTTCACTCAAGCTGATTCCAACTCCTCTCTATGCAGCAACGTAAACATCTTAAAAACAAGAAAATGATGTATGCAGGGAATTATTTTGTTTGTTTAAACCAGAGAAGGACTCGAGCCAGAGACTTGGACTAGAGCCAAACTTCAGTCACAAAGAGTCTAAACATGGACTTAAATGATGGACTCAAAGACTTAACACTTGACTGGACTCAAAACTCTGAGCCTTCCGATTTGATTACTTGCCCCCTGTAAAACCCAAGACTTGTCTAGGACTTAAACCTTAAGGACTTGAGGCTTAATTTGGACTTTCCTTTGACAAAGTGTAGACTTGACTTGGACTTCAGCTTCAAGAACATGACAGAGACACGAATTTCAGAGACTGGAGACATGACTTTGATTTAAATCTCAAATATCAGGCCTAGTCCACATGTAGCCGGGCTTTTTTAAAAATGAATATCCGCCCCTCCAGAAACTTGCATCCACACCACCTCATTTAAAAAAAAAAAACTGTCCACATGTACCCAGATAAATACGTTGTTAAGGACATGCCAGACCTGTAGGCGGCAGTACTTCCCCCGTTCTTAACCTCGTCCTTCGTCTGTGGTCTTCCGCAAGGAGCAGTAATTCCGCTTGCAAAATCAAACAAGCAAAAAGCGCTTGGACAATTGATAAAGTGAGCGCAGCTCTGAGGGCATCCATGCTGTCGGCTAGTGTAAACACAGGTCGCACACGTGATGTCAGCATTTTTTTGTCGTGGAAAGTGACGTTGCGGACCTTAAAACTCCGGTTTTGTCTGTCCACACGCAGACACCCAAAATGGAGAAAACACAGATCTTCACTTTGGCCGGAGTTTTTAAAAAGATCCGTTTTCGTGTGAAAAAACTCCGTTTTCGTGTGGATGACAGGCCAAAACGTAGAAAAATATCTACGTTTTGGCAGATCCCCGGCTACGTGTGGACAGGGCCTTAGAATCTTGGCGGGGACTTGTATCTCACGGACTTGAGTCTTGACTTGGATTTAAATATCAAAGACTTGACTGAATCAGTGTTTAAAGACTGGAGTCGGACTCAAACCTCGAATCGAAGACTTGACTCTGACTCAACTATTAGAGACTGGACTCAGACTCTACTTTCTACGTTTAGGGACTAGACTCGGACTCTAATCTCAGAGTTTGGAGACTTGACTCTGACTCTACTTTCTACGTTTAGGGACTAGACTCGGGCTCTAATCTCAGAGTTTGGAGACCTGACTCTGACTCTACTTTCTACGTTTAGGGACTAGACTCGGGCTCTAATCTCAGAGTTTGGAGACCTGACTCTGACTCTACTTTCTACGTTTAGGGACTAGACTCGGGCTCTAATCTCAGAGTTTGGAGACCTGACTCTGACTCTACTTTCTACCTTTAGGGACTAGACTCGGACTCTAATCTCAGAGTTTGGAGACCTGACTCTGACTCTACTTTCTACGTTTAGGGACTAGACTCGGACTCTAATCTCAGAGTTTGGAGACCTGACTCTGACTCTACTTTCTACCTTTAGGGACTAGACTCGGACTCTAATCTCAGAGTTTGGAGACCTGACTCTGACTCTACTTTCTACGTTTAGGGCTGGACTCGGACTCTAATCTCAGAGTTTGGAGACCTGACTCTGACTCTACTTTCTACGTTTAGGGCTGGACTCGGACTCTAATCTCAGAGTTTGGAGACCTGACTCTGACTCTCCTTTCTACGTTTAGGGACTGGACTCGGACTCTAATCTCAGAGTTTGGAGACCTGACTCTGACTCTACTTTCTACGTTTAGGGACTGGACTCGGACTCTAATCTCAGAGTTTGGAGACCTGACTCTGACTCTACTTTCTACGTTTAGGGACTGGACTCGGACTCTAATCTCAGAGTTTGGAGACCTGACTCTGACTCTACTTTCTACGTTTAGGGCTGGACTCGGACTCTAATCTCAGAGTTTGGAGACCTGACTCTGACTCTACTTTCTACGTTTAGGGACTAGACTCGGGCTCTAATCTCAGAGTTTGGAGACCTGACTCTGACTCTACTTTCTACCTTTAGGGACTAGACTCGGACTCTAATCTCAGAGTTTGGAGACCTGACTCTGACTCTACTTTCTACCTTTAGGGACTAGACTCGGACTCTAATCTCAGAGTTTGGAGACCTGACTCTGACTCTACTTTCTACGTTTAGGGACTAGACTCGGGCTCTAATCTCAGAGTTTGGAGACCTGACTCTGACTCTACTTTCTACGTTTAGGGACTAGACTCGGGCTCTAATCTCAGAGTTTGGAGACCTGACTCTGACTCTACTTTCTACCTTTAGGGACTAGACTCGGACTCTAATCTCAGAGTTTGGAGACCTGACTCTGACTCTACTTTCTACGTTTAGGGACTAGACTCGGGCTCTAATCTCAGAGTTTGGAGACCTGACTCTGACTCTACTTTCTACGTTTAGGGACTAGACTCGGGCTCTAATCTCAGAGTTTGGAGACCTGACTCTGACTCTACTTTCTACGTTTAGGGACTAGACTCGGGCTCTAATCTCAGAGTTTGGAGACCTGACTCTGACTCTACTTTCTACCTTTAGGGACTAGACTCGGACTCTAATCTCAGAGTTTGGAGACCTGACTCTGACTCTACTTTCTACGTTTAGGGACTAGACTCGGACTCTAATCTCAGAGTTTGGAGACCTGACTCTGACTCTACTTTCTACCTTTAGGGACTAGACTCGGACTCTAATCTCAGAGTTTGGAGACCTGACTCTGACTCTACTTTCTACGTTTAGGGCTGGACTCGGACTCTAATCTCAGAGTTTGGAGACCTGACTCTGACTCTACTTTCTACGTTTAGGGCTGGACTCGGACTCTAATCTCAGAGTTTGGAGACCTGACTCTGACTCTCCTTTCTACGTTTAGGGACTGGACTCGGACTCTAATCTCAGAGTTTGGAGACCTGACTCTGACTCTACTTTCTACGTTTAGGGACTGGACTCGGACTCTAATCTCAGAGTTTGGAGACCTGACTCTGACTCTACTTTCTACGTTTAGGGACTGGACTCGGACTCTAATCTCAGAGTTTGGAGACCTGACTCTGACTCTACTTTCTACGTTTAGGGCTGGACTCGGACTCTAATCTCAGAGTTTGGAGACCTGACTCTGACTCTACTTTCTACCTTTAGGGACTAGACTCGGACTCTAATCTCAGAGTTTGGAGACCTGACTCTGACTCTCTACGTTTAGGGACTAGACTCGGACTCTAATCTCAGAGTTTGGAGACCTGACTCTGACTCTACTTTCTACCTTTAGGGACTAGACTCGGACTCTAATCTCAGAGTTTGGAGACCTGACTCTGACTCTACTTTCTACGTTTAGGGCTGGACTCGGACTCTAATCTCAGAGTTTGGAGACCTGACTCTGACTCTACTTTCTACGTTTAGGGCTGGACTCGGACTCTAATCTCAGAGTTTGGAGACCTGACTCTGACTCTCCTTTCTACGTTTAGGGACTGGACTCGGACTCTAATCTCAGAGTTTGGAGACCTGACTCTGACTCTACTTTCTACGTTTAGGGACTGGACTCTGACTCTAATCTCAGAGTTTGGAGACCTGACTCTGACTCTACTTTCTACGTTTAGGGACTGGACTCGGACTCTAATCTCAGAGTTTGGAGACCTGACTCTGACTCTACTTTCTACATTCAGGGACTAGACTCGGACTCTAATCTCAAAGACTTGATTAAGATAAAATGATATTCCCCTGTTGCCCTCCAGGTTTTGACTGATATTCTGAGTCGTGTAGTGGAAGAAAACCAGCTCCGTGACTCGAAGCTGGTCCCCTGCTGTGTCCATCTGCAGTGTCTTCGCTGCAGGTCAGAGTTCACGCCTCGGGGCGAGGATGATGACGATGTTGGAGGAAGATTAACGTTACCAAAGGGTGAGGAAGAACGGTCTAGGGAGGGGCTGATGGACACAAGTTTTTATAATGACAGCAAAGGTAAGAGTTTATCGTTTTAAACGTAAAGGACCATTTTTCTTAAAGTAGCATCGAAGATCCTTCTAGTTTAAGCATTTTATTGAGATTATTTTTTTTACATCCTCATAATTTCTAGAACATAATTAGCCAATTTGAAGGAAGAACAATAAAACAATTTATTTCTTGAATGTTAAAAGGAAAGGTTTGGTTAAAGTCACGTGCACTAACCCGTGCAGGAACAAGCTAACATTGGATTCAGCCTCTGTCAGCAGGTTTTCTGGTCCAAGCCGCTGATAAAACACGAGGCAAGGTCGCCTTGTGTTGAGTGACGTCAGCCGCTGCAGATTAACACAAAAGTCTGGCTCTAGACCTGCTTGGCTCCAGCATCCCTGGAGTTATTTATCAGTTGTCCTTTATTCTCAAGCTGCCGGTTCCCCGGCGTTCCCACCTCTGTAATCAGCCCTGAGACTGATAACCGCTCTAGCAGCTGTCTCTCCACCTCCCAGCAAACCTACTCAAGGATCTGCAGAGGCACGCACAGACAGTGTGCAGGCTTTGTTGGACGCGTGTTTGTTGGGATTTCTAGAAGCGACGAGTCTTTGTTGGTGTGTTTAACCTCCCAACACCTGAAATCTCAGCCATCAAAGCCCCCGTTACTTCACACGTGGTTGAACTTATAGAAACCTGTAGTCTGGAGATGCTTTAAGCATGTTCTTTCTTATTCTACATGGACACGGAACGTATTTTACTCATTTTCAATAAGGGGATAGTATTTTGACACGTCAATATGAGATTTAATGCTTTCATTAAACATCATTTTCCTTAAATGGAAAGGATGAATTTTCAGAATAAAAATGTAGGAAACCTTTTGCAGGATAAAGATTTAAGGCACGTGTTTTCTTAGAAACGACATATTTTGTTGTATTTTTTTTTTCCTCCAGGAATAATCCACGTTTGTCCCAAATGTGGAAGTGACCATGTGATCCAAGTGGTTGAACAAACCCCGCCCTACAGCAGTACGCCTGATGGCAAAGAGACGTATCTTGACATCACAGTGAACAACCACAACAAGGTGTTTCAGATCGCTTCTCCTTGTTGGATTTGCTAACTAAAAGACTGGCGCGGTTATCGATTTATTCATCTTTATTCTACCACAGCACGATGACACCGACGGTAAAAGCTACAGCCCCATGATAGAGACTGCCACCACTTCAGAGGAGCAAACCTTTGTCACAGCCCAGGGGAGCTCCTTCTTCATCGGAGATGTTCCAGGTGATACCAGCAGCCTCTACAACACAGACTTCCACAGCAAAGAGGACCTAGCAGGAAGCTACCACTACACCACAACAGGGGAGACGCCACCGCCAGTGGAGCCTACTGGACCGTCCGCGCCAAATGGTGAGTTTTACGTTTAATCGTGCACTGGTTGGCACTACAGTGTTGCAGGGATGGCGCTGGCAGAGGAGTGCAGTGTTACCCCCTACATAGGCTCAGGCGTGGCGCTGCGCCACAGCTATGAAATCAACCCTCCACCCCCGCTTTCGCGGCCGAAGCATGGCGCCGAAACGTTGTGCGCGCTATTACTCCCTCAAGGTTTCCCCCCAGAAAATGAGTTAAGCCTGGTGGTCGGGGGGGGGGGGGGGGGGGGGTTGCTGTACACGTTCTGCTGCTGTTTCTCACCAGTATCAGCTGATGGAGGGCTCTAGTTTTGTTGCGCCGTTCGTGTCAGTGGACACGGTAGGGTTGGGGAGAGGGGCGGGGCATGATGCTGGGGGAAGCCCCTGCTCCTTTCCTCGCCCTCATGGCAGAGAAACGGTCCGCGAATGTAAACCCACTCCAGCGCACGGCAACAAAACGGTCCCTTGCGCGCACGCATGGCTGTCACACCCGTGGGGGGACTTGGGTGTTTTAACACCCACACTTTTTCTAACGAGGAGGTTATACACCCACACCTTTCCTGCAGTTTAGCTCAAACGTTACTACCAGTCCAGTCCCTCTGTGTCCCCCCCCCCCCCCCCCCCCCCCCCCCCGGCTGTTGCTAATTGAAACCTGCACCTCTGTGCAATGGTGTTACGTCAGCGTTCCGGTCGGTTCCGCTGTTGAAACCCGTTTCTCCACCGCCCCGCCCAAGCTGTAAAAAACACGTGTGCTCATTACAGTCTCGTTCCCGTGGTGCACTCTGGTTTTGGTTTAATACGAGCCACAGATCTAAGCTGCGTGTTTTTATCCAACGGCTGGCGGAACCAGGACCCAGCTAGGGAAATTCCCGGTGGCCCGATTGCAGTTGGGTGTGTTTTTCGGGCCGGTGTTACTCTGCTCACCTGCTGCTGATGAGAGGATTTCTCCTGTCGGGAACAGCTGAGCTGCTGCTTCTGCTCCCAGAAACGCGTTCTATGCCCAGAGTGACCTCATTTATAGTTTATAATTAATATTAAGTGAATGCACTAAACCCAGAGGTGATGGAAAATGAGATTATAAATAAGCAGATGTCTGCTTCAGCTGGACAATATCAAGTATAAAAAAGTGTTTACAGGTAACTGATCTTTTAATGAAGAAACTATGTTAGTCATTTTTAATTCTAATATTGATTTGATTTCATTCCTAAGGTCTGTGAACATTACTGAGTATTCTGATACTCAGTGATGTATAAATAATACACAATATTACATTTAGTTTCTATAAACAACAAATGAATAACAGCAGCTGGATTCTACGTTGTTCCTTATATTGAGTCACGTAGTTTAGGAGGTTCTGCATGCTCACACGTTCAGCAGCAGCTCTGCCAGCTGATTGGCTCTTTAGTAACTTGTGACATCAGTACAGTTCTGGTAATGAGCAGCATGGATGCGCCGGAGGACTTCATCATGTGCTAATAAACGAACAGCATTTAACTTGCGTTAACGAGCTGTTATCACAGATGGGACTTTACTGTCACTCAGATTATTTTACTGAGAAGGTTTATCTGAAGCCAGGCCTATATAGCCGACGTTCCCCCGTCTTCTTTAGAAGCGCGTCTTCATCCACCTGCAGCTGCAGCCCTGATCAAAGACTGATCTGGGCTCGGACTGTTCTGTTCTGGTCCTGCTGGACCTGACTGCAGCCTTTGACACTGTTGACCATCACCTGCTACTGGAGAGGCTAAGAGATTGGGTAGGCCTATCAGGATCTGCTCTGGAGTGGTTCTCCTCTAATCTCTCTGAGCGCTCCTTTTCTGTGGCCGTCTCCAAGTTTAGGTCCTCCACCACCTCTCTTAAACATGGTGTCCCACAAGGTTCTGTGCTGGGGCCTATGCTCTTCCTCCTCTATCTGCTTCCTCTTCAGCACATCCTGAGCTCCTTCAAAGGAATCTCCTACCATCTTTATGCAGATGACATCCAACTGTACATCTCCTTTAAGCCCCATGAGATGTCTAAGCTGCAGCTGTTACACACCTGCTTAGACTCTATCAAAACCTGGATGGCTGGGAGCTTTCTTCAGCTGAATGAAGATAAGACTGAGATCCTCATCTGTGCCCCAGACAAGCTGGTTCCCAAAGTCAGAGACTCTCTTGGTCAGCTTGCTACTCACACCAAACCTTCCATCAGGAATCTTGGTGTGACCTTTGACCCAGCTCTCACCCTTGATTCTCATGTAAGTTCTCTTGTTCGCTCTTCCTTCTTCCATCTCAGGAACATTGCTAAGCTGAGTCCCATTCTGTCCCACTCTGAACTTGAGACAGTTATCCACACCTTCATCTCCTCACTCTTAGACTACTGTAACTCTCTTTTCACGTGTCTGAGCAGAACCACCCTGAACCGTCTACAGGTGGTTCAGAATGCCTGTGCTCGGCTTCTGACCAAGTCCTCCAAACACACCCACATCACCCCGCTTCTCCTCCAGCTTCACTGGCTGCCAGTCAACTTCAGAGTTCATTTCAAGATCCTGGTTCTGGTCTATGGGGCCTTACATGGACAAGCACCATCTTACATTGGTGATCTTCTTAGTCCCTAAACCCCCAGCAGGTCCCTGAGGTCCAGTGATCAAAGCCTACTGGTTGTGCAGCACCAGGCTAAAGACCAAAGGTGACAGATCATTTGCTGCTGTGGTCCCCAGACTCTGGAACTCTCTCCCCCTGAGCCTGAGATCAGTGGACTCAGTGGTCTCCTTTAAAAAGCAGCTGAAGACTCACTTGTTCAAGCTGGCTTTTGTATGACCTTCTTCACCACTCTCTCTTTATTCTGCTCTCCCCACCTATTCCACCTTCCTCAGGATCCACTGATTTCCCTCTTTCCTAGTCTTTCTTAACATTTTTTTTTATCACAGTTGCTTATTTTTGTTCATTTTAAATATATTTTTAAACATTTTCTAAATGCTTTTTATATTTTTACATTTTTTGTTTTTGTGAAGCACCTCGTGATTTTTATCTTGAGAGGCGCTATAGAAATTGTATTTTCTTCTTCTTCAAAGCTGACAGAAATGGGGATCTGTGCTGCAACCCGATCGATTGATCCGCATATTTCTAGTAGAACACGTTTGTTCAAAAGATTTGTGCAATAATCAGATTTTTATTTTACTTTAACACAATTAATTTTAGATTAGATCTTACAGAAAACGGGGACAGCTTGCCAACAAATTAAACGACCACCCCTTGTCAATTACAAGTCAGGATGGCTTGCTGGCTGCTTCCAGGCAAGCAACTTTCAAGTGTGTCATGAGCTACCGGTTGTTGGTAATAGAAAAAGTGGTTTGAGATATTTTTTTAGAGCCAATTAGTTTCTCTTTTTTTCCTTCTAATTCCCCATTATTATTGTTAGCTAAACATTGCCCTCTAGCCTTCTTCATCTGATATAGCAGTAAAACTAAAAGATACTGTGGCTTCTTAGGGGCACAAGAAATCACTTCTGGGTCGCTCCTGTTTACTAGGGCTGAACGATTTTAGAAAAAAATCTAATTGCGACTTTTTTTCTTCATTATTGCAATTGCGATTTAATTCACAATTATTTTCTCCAGGGGCTTTTCTCATTTTTCAACTAACGGAAGCAAAAAAAAAAGGATCTATGTAACTTGTACTGAATATAAACAAGTTTATGTATCTACGTCATCAAGTTTATTTGTCTACACATACATGAACACTCACAAGTAAAGACAACATCTTGTATTTGAAGGTGTAATGCTTTGCAGCCAGGAGCACATCCCTTGAAGGAGAATGGGTATTACCATCAACTGTGAAAATTTACCATAAATCCTCTAATTTTAGCCTGTATTTAATTAACTGCCGGGTATCATATTTTGGCCGGTATCGGAGTTGGCGGAGGTGAATAATGGCCGTTTTTTTTATTGTGGCTGGGTGGAATGTGGTAACAAGCAAGTACGGGGGGCGGTTGTGTCATCCGTCTCACTTTTGATTTGCCAGTGATAGACCGCGAGGGTAACTTTAACCGTACGGAGACGAAGAGGAGGCGAAAATTTTATATAAAGTTCAAAGAGAACGTGCTGATTATGCTGCAGAACACTCTGGGGAGCAGTAGTAGGGGTTGTAAGAACTAGTCACTAGTCCACTTCACCGCTCTATAGTGACTTTTTATGCCTGTCATCGACTAGTCGCTGTCACGTGATAATGACCGGCAAGATGCAGTCCTCAGAAAAGACAGCAGCCTGCTGTCAGCAGGTGACAAGCTCCTGCGCGTCTGGAGGCAACACGCTGTGCCAGAGCGTCGGCACTGACACCCGCCGTAAAACAGACATTTTACCAAATTGCGATGTTTACCCTCTTGCAATTTAACATTCCCCTCACCCCCATCCTAACCTTAACCAGCTTGCGCATGCAAAGCTCTGATTGTTGACGCGCTCCAGACATCTGCGTCCTGAGCACGGCCACAGTAACATTATCAAATCAGGTGTCGCCACCTCAAAATCTAATTTAACACGCGATCGTTCATATCGGCTCATTTCCTTTTATGTTTTCTGTCTTATTCTTTAATTTGTGACTGATGTGTTTCGCTGCTGTGGATCGGGGCGCATCACCTGTTTTGTCCTCGGTGATGCACCTAACTGATGTGGTCGGCGAGCACTCCGCTGTTTTAGCAGTCGGTAGATCTTTTAGAACTGCAGTTCAAAGGTAACTCATGAGGTGAATATATATGAACCCAGGTAGCAGTTTTTCTTTAGGATTGCGAGGAGATGCAGGAAGATAATAGACAGGCAGGACAGAAAAATAGTCAAATAAAAACAAGTTAGTTTTTGTTCCTGGTGGTTGCAACAAACAGACACCATTGAAGGTAATCATAAGTGAGGAACAGAAAATGAAATAATTATTTTAATGTTTAGAGCAGCAGAAACTCTGAGAGGCTGCAGGCGCATCAGTGAGTTTGCAGCCGCTGCGCAGGGGGAGGGGGGAGAGGGCTGAAGCAGAAACTACC